CTGCCACTGTCCGCTTCTCCTCTTTCTCATTTTAGGAGGTTTTTTAAAACCAGTGTGGGGCTGGGAATTTTGCTGTCTCTGCCAGAAACAGTGGGATTTGTGGGGTTTTTGGGGGTTTTTTTGGAGGGGGTTTGAGGTCCCTGCCACTGTCCCCTTCTCCCCTTTCTCATTTTATGGGGTTTTTCTCCTGTCTCTGAACCCATTTCTTCCTTGTTTCCTATAAAAACCAGCGTGGGGCTGGGAATTTTGCTGTCTCTGCCAGGAACAGTGGGATTTGTGGGGTTTGGGGGTTCTTTTTGCAGGGTTTGTGGGGGTTTTTTGGGTTTTTTTGAGGGGTTTTGGGGGGCTTTTTGGGGGGTTTGAGGTCCCTGCCACTGTCCCTTTATTCCCGTTCTCATTTTATTGGGTTTTTTTCTTCTGCCTATGAACCCATTTCTTTATTGTTTCCTATGAAAACCAGCGTGGGGCTGGGAATTTTGCTGTCTCTCCCAGGAACAGTGGGATTTATGGGGTTTCTGTGGGATTTTTGTGGGGCTTGGGAGGGTTTTGTGGGATTTGAGGTCCCTGCCACTGTCCCCTTCTCCCCTTTCTCATTTTATGGGGTTTTTCTCCTGTCTCTGAATCCATTTCTTCCTTTTTTCCTATCAAAACCAGCGTGGGGCTGGGAATTTTGCTGTTGGTCCCAGGAACAGTGGGATTTGTGGGGTTTGGGAGTTTTTGGCGGTGTTTTTGGGGTTTTGGGTTTTTTTTTTTTGAGGGTTTTGATTTCCTTTGGGGTGTTTTTGGGGTTTTGGGGTGTTTTTGGGATTTCCTTTGTTTTTTTTTGAGGGTTTTTTGTGGGGTTTGAGGTCCCTGCCACTGTTCCCTTCTCCCCTTTCTCATTTTATGGGGTTTTTCTCCTCTCTATGAACCCATTTCTTCCTTTTTCCTATAAAAAATCAACATGGGGCTGGGAATTCTGCTGTCTCTCCTGGGAACAGTGGGGTTTGTGGGGTTTTGTGGGGTTTTTGTGGGGTTTTAGTGGTGTTTGAGGGGGTTTTATGGGTTTTTTGGTGTTTGAGGGGGTTTTATGGGGTTTTTGTGGTGTTAGAGGGTTTTTTTGGGGTTTTGTGGGGTTTTTGTGGGATTTGAGGGGTTTTTGTGGTGTTTGAGGGTTTTTTTTGTGGTGTTTGAGGGGTTTTTGTGGGGTTTTGAGCTCCCTGGCTGAGTTTCATGCTGCTTTTCCAGGGTTTTGACGAGTACATGAACCTGGTGCTGGACGATGCCGAGGAGATTCACTCCAAAACCAARTCCAGGAAGCAGCTGGGTAGGTCAGAGGGGGTGGGGAGAGCCTGGGGTGTGGATTTGGGGCAGRAAAATGGGATGGGACCTTAAATCCAGGGGTTGGAGCCTAAAAATTCAGGTGTAAAACCTGAAATTGAGGTGGTGGAGCCTAAAAATTCAGATTTAAAACCTGAAATCCACCTGTGGAATGTGAAATCCAGGTTTAGGATCTGAAAATCGAGGTGTAGGATGTGAAATTCGGGAGTGGGATGTGAAATTGAGGTATTGGAACCAAAAAATTCAGGTTTAAAACCTAAAATCCAGATGTGGGAGCTGAAAATCCAGGTTTGGGATGCTGGAACCTGGAATGGGACCTTAAATCCAGGTGTGAACCTAAAATTCCAAATGTGGGACTTGGAATTTGGGGTGGGAGCTGAAAATCCAGGTGTTGGAACACAAAATTCAGGTGTGGGAGCTGAAATCCCGGGTTTGGAGCCAAAAAATTCAGGTGTAAAACCTGAAATTGAGGTGTTGGAGCCTAAAAATTCAGATTTAAAACCTGAAATCCACCTGTGGAATGTGAAATTGAGGTGTTGGAGACAAAAAAATCAGATTTAAAACGTAAAATCCAGATGTGGGGGCTGAAAATCCAGGTTTGGGATGCTGGGACCTGTAATGGGACCTTAAATCCAGGTGTGAACCTAAAATTCCAGATGTGGGACTTGGAATTTGGGGTGAGAGCTGAAAATCCAGGTTTGGGATCTGAAAATCCAGCTATGGGACTTGAAATTTGAGTGTGGGAACTGAAATCCATGGGTTGGAGGCAAAAAATTGTGGTGTAAAACCTGAAATTGAGGTGTTGGAGCCTAACAATTCAGCTTTAAAACCTGAAATCCACCTGTGGGTGTGAAATTGAGGTATTGGAACTAAAAAATTCAGGTTTAAAACCTAAAATTCAGATGTGGGAGCTGAAAATCCAGGTGTTGGGATGCTGGAACCTGGAATGGGACCTTAAATTCAGGTGGGAGCCTAAAATTCCAGATGTGGGATCTGGAATTTGGGATGGGAGCTGAATCCAGGTGTTGGAACACAAAATTCAGGTGTGGGAACTGAAATATTGGGGTTGGAGCCAAAAAATTGTGGTGTAAAACCTGAAATTGAGGTGTTGGAGCCTAAAAATTCAGATTTAAAACCTGAAATCCACCTGTGGGATGTGAAATTGAGGTACTGGAACCAAAAAATTCAGGTTTAAAACCTAAAATCCAGATGTGGGACCTGGAATTTGGGTTGGGAGTTTAAAATCCAGGTTTGGGACTTGAAATTTGGGTGTGGGAACTGAAATCCATGGGTTAGAGCCAAAAAATTCTGGTGTAAAACCTGAAATTAAGGTGTTGGAGCCTAAAAATCGAGGTGTGGGATGTGAAATTCAAGTGTTGGAGCCAAAAAAGTCAGCTTTAAAACCTGAAATYCACATGTGGGATGTGAAATCCAAGTATTGGAGCCAAAAAATCTACCAAAAAATCCTGAAATTCACCTGTGGGAACCTAAAATCCAGATTTGGGACCTGAAAATCCAGGTATTCGATCCTAAAACCCAAATGTGGGACCTTAAATCCAGGTGTGAGCCGAAAATCCAGATGTTGGAACCTGAAATGGAGTTATTGGACCCTAAAACCCAAATGTGGGGACCTAAAATTCAGATGAGGGGACCTAAAATCGACTTGTTGGACCCTAAAATCCAGGGRTGGGACCCCAAAATCCCAATCCTATGGGGTGGGATGGGCTGGGCTTTAGGGCCATTCCCTAAATTCCCGTTTTCCTAAATTTCCTGTGTTTTTCCAGGTCGGATTATGCTGAAGGGAGACAACATCACCCTCCTGCAGAGCGTCTCCAAT